CTACCTCCTGTTCTGGGTAGCTTCACTGGTCATCCGCCGCGTAATCTATCAAACCGAGACTCACCTGTTGCGAGACCCTGACCCGAGCCGCATGGTGTTCTATGCCAGAGAAATTTGCCGCTCCGTAGCATATTGCATGCAGCCTGAAAATCGGATGTTGGCCGTGCGATCCGTACTTCTGGGACTTTCACAGGCGTCCAAATGTTATATTGACTGCGGGGATAAGGCGGAGTTCGAGTGGTGCCAGGCGGTCTACCCGTTTATTGACGCCAGTGGCTTTGGTATCGCCAGACTTATGAGCAAGATGGAGTGGAAGTTTTGGAATGCGGCTCAGAGCCAGCCAAGGGGAGCTCCTTTGTTATTGCCTGAGGCGGTACGTGCTAGCTCGATATGAGAGCACCCAGGAGATAGTAACGCGACACGTATCCCATGCACCGCTGCAGATCTGGGCATTGATATACTAATTGAACCAACGCATTCGCATTATTGCAGCAGCCACTCTATTACTTGTTAGGTTTCCACCGATGGTGCGGGGATTACTGGATTTTGTGATTACTTGCCTAAGCTTCCATGGCCATATCATCAGTCATATGTGGTAGCAGCTTCCAGCTCCTCTAGGATCGCATTCCTTCTCGCATTGAAAAATCTTCCTGGGTTTTTGTTACTAATCAGTAAGAAAGAGTAACTAGTTCATGTGTAATATACTCTCTTCACGGCTCGGAAGGAAAAAAAGAAGGAAAGTAAAAAGAAAGAAAAAGAAGAAAAACAAAAACTTTGAGACATTAATAAGACGTCAGGAACAGTGTCACCGGGTCTATTCCTTGTGGGATATCACGTATATTAAGGGATTTCGTTTATAGGTTTGCCTCTTCGGATCGAGATTATCTACATGTTCCCTGCCCAGTCACATGACAGTCGAAGCAGTAGCCAGATTATCTAACTTTCTAACAATTAAATATTACTCTAAACATATCAGTCTAACAGCCCACCCTAGATCATCGTCCCCTTATTCTGCTTCTTGTCCACATTATAATGCTTCCACATACCCACCGCCGGAAACATCAACACCAAAATACAAGTCGCTGCAATAGCCTCGTACTTCTCCATATAACCCCAGGCATAATTGACCGCATCCCTAACCGCTGACCCAGGCTCATACTTCATCTGCGACAAATAACCCCCAGAGTACAATGTCTCGAATAGGTCCTGATCCTCCGCCGGCAGCGCCCTCCTCAACCCATCCGTGAACGTGTTTGTATAAATCGCCGCCGAAACCGCATACCCAATAGCGCCCCCAATACTATTGAATAGACCCAACATCGACAACAAGATTGGGATCCCATCCCTGTTCGACGCACACATCACCGCCATCTGCTGACCAATAACCAACATACCACCTGAGAACGCAATAAAGATCTGACACATTATTACGTACCCGATATCTGCGTCTTGACCCCGGAAATGAATCATCAACCCAGCACCCAAGAACATCAATGGCGCCGCAAAGCACAGACACGAGTACTTGAATTCCTTGACCATGCGAATCCAGAAGCCGAAGACGGGGGACCAGACGCACGATCCGACGGTATAGATGGAGGTCATGTAGCCGGTTTTGGTCACGTCCAGGTTGTAGACGACCATTACGAAGTAGTAGAAGTAGCTGTCCCAGCAGTAGAAGCTAAAGTAGACGACTGCGGCAAGGAGGCAGGCGCCGAGGACGGTGCGGTCCCGGAGAAGGTCGTAGGGGATGAAGTGGACCCGGGCGCACCATCTCTCCCAGGCTGCGAAGACAAAGAAGAGAACGAAACCGATGACTACTTCGGCAATAAAGGCGGCGTTGTGGTATTCTGTTCGGCCATAGCTAGCTAGGCTGAAGGGGAGGAGGAAGAGTACGAAGGCAGCCATGAGGATGAAGGCACCGATGACTGTCAAGATGATTGTTAGAGACTGTTTCTAGGTTTCGCAAATCGTCTAGTAAGAGGGAAATAATTACCATCAAATTCGTGGATGTAGTGGATCAGCGACTGGAACCAGGTCCGGCCATTGTCTTGGCAAACCAGAACACCGGTCTTGTAGGCCTTCCGCTCATAATATTTGAAGACAAAAATGAGGGGCGCGAAGACGAAGGGCTGGACTATGGCGAAGGCACCATAGGCCCAGCGCCAGCCCGAAGTTTTGATAAAGGAGTTGGCTGCAAGGGAACCGGTAAAGGCACAGCAGATGAAAGGCGTCGTGGAGAAGCCAAAAGCAAAGGCTCGGTTGCGCAAGCCAGAGGTATCCGCAATGAAGATCTCAAGAATGAGGTAGATAGCATCGTAACCAATCCAGTAGAAGACATAGCCTGCAGCGAAGGCATTGGGTCCGTTGCATGCCGCGAGGATGATCAATCCAAGAACGTAAACGATAACGAAGACGATCAGACCTTCAGCACGCCCCCAAATTCCTAGAAGCTTTCCAATGGGCAGCTTCAGCACACCGCCAATGATGGTCGCTAAGATATAGGCTGTCGTGACTTGCGAGGCGTGGGAGAAGTTCGAGTAAGCATAGTAGAGTACGTTGGTACTGATGTATTCGTGAAGCGCAAGCATGAAATAGCAGACCCAGATCCTGGGCATATCATTAGTACGGCTCTTCTATATGCTTCCTTGTGATTTCCATACCAGGCGTAAGTGCCGTAGATGGCTTTTCTGCTCCAGACCAGCGCAGCAGCCTCTGCCTTCTGCACTCCGATCGGGGCCTCCTGGGAAACCCCTTCAGGCTGGGTATCTTTCTCGGAGAACCCCAGGTTAGCAGACGGACCATCCGTCTGGGAATTCTTCGGATGCTGCTCTACTGGCTGAAGATCATCTACGACATGGTTGGTCTTGCGACCCTTGAGTCGGTCAACGACGACACCCATGATAACTGGATGAGATATTATCTCTGCAGGGTGGGTAGATGAGTAATGTCAATGGGGATAGGAGTGGGAGAAAAGGGGAAGGAAAAGGGCCGATCGCCGGATGTTATATAGTGGGTAGCATTCCCTCCTACACCCATCGTCTCCCCTGTCAATCATCCATTCAACTTGGCTTTTGGGTCTGCATTAGCGCCAACATCAAACTTTTTCTTTCTCCTTCTTCTATGGCTCATGTGGAGACTGCTCTTTGGGGCCAAAGTCTCTAGCATCACGGCGTGGCAACTAGACTCGTGGTTTCACGCAGGAGCCACACTTGCAGACTGGAGAGTGAGCGTCAGAAATCAATGGAGAACAAATAAATGGGGGCCAAGCGATAAGCGCCATCAGATAATCAGGCCAATGCATCAGATAATCTCTGTTGTGGGGCTAACAGCCAATGATATCAAATATGAGCCGGCTAATGCCGGGTGTGATGATAACCTCTTGGCCAATTGCGGCTGTCTAGCCCGGACCATTCATGCCCAAGAGCCACATTCTTTTACGACCATTCCCTATATTGGCATAGCTACCCAGCTCCATTGGTCGGTGGACGTATTGAGTATCGCTTTCTGCGCTAGGAAAAATTTCACCTCCCCGTGATTAATACTAAAAGCAGCCTGGTCGATCCTTCGATCCAGGGCTTGTGCGTGAAATCTCTGCTGTGTGGCTTTTGGCAACCAAAACATCCGATTGACAGAAAATCAGGGTATCACCGTTGGAATCCTTCACGGTCAGGCCACTATCGTTTGCCAATTGGTGTGGCAGGATGTATCCGCAATCGGACTGTAATGCATGCTCTCGCACACCACCTACACCGATTGGTAGACTCCTGCTTGGCTCTCTCGTATCTCATGATCCATGCGGAAGCTTATGCCCGGAATATCCGAACCTGAGCAGTTGTTCTTTACGGAGCGCCCGTTTGGGGGCAACACAGCGTGGTCTGATCAGCCAACAGCGGTCCAGAATCAGTCGCTTGGTACCCACATTGAATCGGCATACTCCGTAGTAACCGGACAGCCTCGCATATTACGTACCTTACTTCTAGTCTTCTACATGCCTTAACCCGGCAGTTGGTTTTGGACGTGGCTTGTCTGCTAACCCTGGACTGTGACGCACTATGATAGTGGAGCCCATTCACAACCGGTGAACCCTGGAGACCCATTATTGGGGAGCCACAGAACCATTACAAATGGCTTACTAAATTAATGAAGCACATCTTCAGCGCTCTTTTACTATGTTCTATTGTCATTTCGGTAGTGTTCCCCAAATTGGAATATTATCTATGCCTTATAGTTCATATCAAGTATGATTAGTTCGGTTGTGCACCTGAGTCCTATCTCGATTGGGATAGCCATGCACTGGTCGGTGAAATTTTGATCGAAGCTCATGGTTCAATTTATCCAAATCTTGCAACTCTGTTAAAATTAGACGGCCGTGTCCCTTTACCTCAGGGTATTCTGATGATCATGGCAATACTATATCTACCAGACCAGCATCGAGATCATGATAGTAAAGCAGGTATCTGTTCATTGTGAGGGATTTGTCCGAGTAGAGACCAGCACACCAACTCATTGATGGCAGGTCATTGGAGAGCACAATTTTTTGAATCGACTTGCCATTCTGTCGGGAACACTCTTGACTCTACATGAGCATAAAGTATGTACATAGTTTACGCTTCATGCCAGATCCTTTGGTTGTACTCTGGAGATCTCCGGTTGATCTCGGCCAATTATGCCCTGGACTTGCTTGGGAGTATCAATGTCGAATTTGCCCTAGCTTGTTAGGGTCAGGGAAACGGTGTTCCAAACGGCGTCCCTCGGTGCATGCATGCCTTCAGTGTTACTGGCCAGTTATGGTACCACGGTGCATTCTCAGTGGATAGAGATTTGTCGATTGGTGAATAACTGATTGATGTTTATAACTGGCGGGCTCATAAGAGTCTTCTCATTCTCTCTAGATTTCTACCTTCTAAGAAGCTCTTTCACTCTCGGGTGTCTCTTGATAGCCTTCAATGGAAGCAAAGCTTCTGAGTACGACATGGCCTCAACATATGACCTCGTGAATTATGACTCCGACGAGGAGAGGGAAAAGTACCCTATTGTTCCCCTTCGCCAACCTCACATCTGCTGCCCTTTTCATGGCTGGCTTGTTGGAAGGAGCCGGGTTTATTTATGGGCTGATGGGTGAGCTTGCGGTCGCCTTCTTGCGCAGCACCCGAGTCACTCAAGGCGTTGACATGGCCTTAGCACCCAGGAAATGGCGAGACATTTGGAGGATTATGGAGGCTGGGCCAAGGTATGCTGTTCCATAGTATACTAGCGCTTGTTCTTAAACAAAGCGAAAGTGTATCCCAGCATCTGTCAAAATGGATTGCACCATGGATATCACCTAGGGAGGTTGTTGGCCCTCGTTTATTTCACCGATTGCGAGAGAGTGAAGCGCTAGGGAGACGAACGCATTATGGTCGTTGACTTGGGGAATATTCATGTCGCAAAAACTGGAGTATGGCTCCAACCACTAGTTTTGCCGAGATTATGAAGCGCGGGATGAATGAGTCGCCAGGTTAGTGGAAAGGAAGAGGGGTGCTTGCTATTTCTTGGGATGGACCGATAGAGCGCTTGCCCGCCAACGGGGCTGCAGATAATCAATACGATTGCTAGGTGCGATCTTTCTAAATGTTGTGCTTTTCTTTGGTGGAGCTGAAAGGCCTACGTGTTGATCAGGGTCATCCCAACCCAACATTTCAAGGTTATTTACCGACCCCAACACATGTTCGTGCTGATGCCTAAGGCATTCAGTAATTGGGTGTCACCCAATATGCCTCGGAGACCCTTATCTGATACAATAAACGCCATCTCGGTATGTTTAGTAATTACTAGCTCTTTTGGTGCCTGTGATTGACGGGCTCGTCGTCTATACCGCACGTTTTCACGATTGCTATCTCACTGGCATGGAAAGGTGAGCCGACACAATATATATTCACCAGATACGATTGAGGTGTAATTTATTAGGAACGGTGAGCGAGTCAAAAGCAGAAACATGAACCTAACAATAACTTACTGAAGGGATAGAGATGTCAAAGAATCTCAGAAGCACCAACCAAACGGTGTTAGACTAATCTTGGGCAGGATAAATCCCAATTACTCTGAGCAGAAGTGGTCATGATTGCTAACAGAATGGGATCAATTCTGGCTGTGTTAGGTCGTATATTAACTAGAGCGAGAAACAGTCCTAACAGATAACCCTTGATGGTCTAGTTGGTTATGGCGTCCGGCTGTAATGGTTAATTGTAACCGGAAAATCCCTGGTTCGATTCCGGGTCGAGGGACATCTTCTTTTTTGGCATTTTTTCACCCGCATCCGCATTCGCTCCGTACAACAGGAAGCAAGTAATAAATTACAACAAACAACCATCGCATCCCTTGCTGATTATTTCATGATCAAGGAACATTCGAATAACCAGCTGACATCGAGCCGCTAACGCAGCCACTGACAGTAGTGGTAACCTCAATAAGCGTTCATTCCTGGCAACGGAAGCCATGCAATCGTTCAGTTTTCTAGTCAGTAGACCAAGATGGCTGCACCACGACTGCAGTGTGGAGATGGTACAACGCCACGTCCATAATCCAGCATAGAGATAGACCGCCACACTACAAATTAGACAATACTCGTTCTAAGCCAGATGCCGATGCAGGCAAGTCCGACATCCGACCACGTGAGCGGATCGGAGGTCATTTTCGGCCTCCGCTCATAGTTATTTAGGGAGTCATGAAAGCTCTAATCGAACAACCATTGCCCCACCAAGAACATTCATTTTCAAAGCATCCTATCACTTCCTGAAGTATATCAGTAGCCATGGATAAAGATAGCCATGTTGTGATTATCGGTGCAGGCGTATTTGGCCTCACCACTGCTTACCAGCTCGCCACCGAGGGCTACAAGAACATTACGGTCCTTGATCGACATATGCCCCCAGTAAGTTCAGTTCTGCGCAGTGAATGTTGCCTCAACTAATTAGCCCAGGTTTCAGATGGGTCCAGCTCTGATATCTCTCGTATAATTCGATTTGATTATGCCGACGACGATTACTTGCGTATTTCTCACGCAGCCTATTTGAAATGGCAGGAGCCCAAGTACCGGGGCATTTTCTACCCCAGACCTTTCATTCTGACAGGAAGCATGGGTCCCGTCAAAGACTCATGGATGGAGAGGACCAAAGCAGCTCTCAACAGGTATAACCTTCCATGGACTCACGTAACCGACGCGGACCACGCGAAGCGGTTACACCCAGTCCTCAGCGGAAAATTAGCCGCACCTCCGTTCTCTGGGTACCAAAACAACCAAGCAGGATGGGCAGATGCCAACAAGGCTATCAGCCAGCTTCGTGATGATTGCTTCGAAGCTGGCGTTTCATTCATCTGCGGCCGGCGGGGTACGGTTGTTGGGTTCGACACCGATTCCGACAAGAATATCAAGGCCGTACGAACCCTCATTGGAAGCCCCGTGTCGGGAGATCACTTCATTCTTGCAGCTGGTGCATGGGGGTCTAGCCTGGTTCCCATGTACAACTCTACCATTGCTACTGCTCAGGTCCTGGGATTCATGCGTCTCACGCCAGAGGAGGTGAAGAAGTACGAAGAGCTTCCGATTTACATCAACTTCTCGAGTGGCTGGTTTAACTTCCCTCCTCATGAAGATACTAGCCTACTGAAGATGGCTGTTCACGGGTGGGGATACACCAGGACCCCCAAGGAGGGAGAGCTCACCCTCGCCAAGGGCAACATCTCGACTCCCCCGTTGATCCCGCCTCGTGAGCGTATCAACTTTGTCCCAGCGGATGGCGAGCACAGACTCCGGGAAGGGCTGCGCGAGATTCTGCCCGAACTAGCTGACCGGCCTTTTGAGAAGCTGGCTCTCTGCTGGTATACGGACACCCCGACCGGTGATTTCATCATGGACTACCACCCGGATTTCAAGAACTTGTTTATTGGGGGTGCGGGCAGTGGACAGTGAGTTTTCCCTTTGGTATCGATTCATGTTTTTGATTGAATGCTAATGTTCCATTTACAGTGGATTCAAGTTCCTACCTGTCCTGGGTGAATACATGTCGCGGGCGATCAAACGGGACCTGCCAAAGAACCTCGCTCAGAAGTGGCGATTCCGGATGGAATACCAGAACCAGGACGATACTTTCCTGGGCGATGGGAGCCGTGCAGGACCCGCGAGACGGGAGTTGACTCCTTATGAGAAGGCTAAATTGTAAATTGTCATTGCCTTCGCATGGTGAATATTGTAAATATGAGGTTGTATTTGATAATTTACGAAGTTAGCGATGAAAGACAGAACTTGAACAGGTTCCTTTAAAGCCATATTCAACTAAAGTTGCATTCCTCCATCTAAGTCAAAAGATAATATTCAAGCATAAGGAAACCCAAGCGAGATCGCCACTAGCCGGAGATAAACTAGTCCCGAAAGATAAGCACGTGGCAAACATCCGCTCACGTGGTCGGCAAAACGCAGCCCGGAATTTGCCCTGACGCCGAGATGGATCGGCTACTTCCCCGGCTAATGGCAAGAGTAGATGGCGGAATGTCAATTTACCGATAGCATGGATCGATCGTCTGAGCCCCGAGAACGGAGTCGACAGGCCTGCGAGCCATGTCGGTAGGGTCTCTTGTTCGTCACGAAATGTCTAGACTTGCTGACTCTATGACAGACGCAGAAAAACAAAATGTCCTGGAGAGAGGCCGGTTTGCTCAACCTGCCAAAGATTAAAACACCAATGTGTTTATTCACTCAGGGACCGAGCAAGCGTCACATCTGGAAGGGTGACAAAAGCGTATGCGTCTGTGAGCCATCCTGCAGCTACAACAGACCTTAATCCTAATATCAGACTAGAAGAGCTACCCAAGATCGGCTACGGATACTCGAGTCACAGGTCAATGATTTGTATGGTGCGCTATGGTGTGCATATCCTTTACCCTACATATAGGTCCCTGTACAGTCGACTGATATATCGTCAGCGCACGCTCCAGCAGAAATGGCGAACCATCACCGGGGACTCCTGAGAGCAATAGTACCTCGCAGAGAGAGCTGGACTGGCAGGTTCCCGTGCGAGAGTATTCTAGTGATATGTCTACCTTCTCACCAACAAAGTAAATGTCCTAGTGCCACCGAAAATCGGTATCTTGGCTAACTAGTTAAGTCCACATCCACCCACAGAGACATTGCAGCACTTTATAGAGGTGTACCGAAAAGTGCTACATCTGCAGCCACTACCACTGTTCGACATGCATACACTCCAGTCGGATTTAGCTAAAGCGCCAGACTTTCTTCTATGGAGTTTCTTAACGCTTATACTACCATTTTCAGGTCATGAATTCTACCACGGCAGAGAGATAGAAGCTCGGAAATTCTATTCTCAGTCCGCCGAACAGGCAGTAGTGAAAATGGCCATCGAGGGCGTATCACAAGTGGAAGTACTGCAGTCGCTGTGCTTGCTAGCCCTACGGCACATCAAAGGTACGCATTTCCACATTAACCTGAAGACCTGTTCTAAACCCCGAATAGAAGGCAATCAAGCCCAAGCCTGCATGACAATTGGAATGGCATCCCGACTCCAAGCATTCCGAACCCTACAACACAACAACACCAACCAAACAGAAACCAGAGACCTCACAATCTCCCGCTGCCACTGGAGCATACGCATCCTAGAAAGCATTTTCACCCCACAACTCTCCATCCCATCTCCACCACAAATCCCAACATGCCCCGAATACCCCTACCCGCCCAGCGTACCCGTCCCACCCCCGCTCCCTTCCGCATCCCCTACCCAAACCGACCCCTTCGACACCACCGACCCAACCAACGACCTTGGAATCGTCGCCTACGGCATCCAACTAATAGTCATCTGGGGAGAAACAGCCTCCTACCTCCACAGCATCCGCACGAATCCTAACCTCAACGAAGAAACCCCCTGGTCCCTATCCTCCACCTACTCAAAGCTCAACCACAGACGCAACGAACACGAAACCCAACTCCCAGAATCCCATCTCCTCCGCAACGTAGCCTTCACCAAACGCACCCGCGCCGAAATCTCTACTCACCGGGAATACTGGACTTCCTGGATATCGATGCAAATCTTCTGCCATGCTCTCGTCGCAATCCAGAACCACCCCTTCATCCACCTCGTCATTCTACGCGGGAACCGCGGCGTCTCCCAGTCCCGGCTCTTCCTCCAACAAACAGTCGACCACGCCTTATTTCACTCTGAATGGGTATTTCGACTCGTCCAAGCTTGGGAGAACTTCGACCTACCGTTTCACGACCCATTAATAGCCCATTTAGTAGCAGCTACTGCGTCCATATCATGGATATTCCAGTTCGCGCGGGACAGAGGAATCGGAGAAAAAGCACGAGGACATCTCGTCATCGCAGAGAGATCATTAACTCGAATGTCAACGATCTGGCCGCACGTTTCGCATAGGCTCAAGACCCTCCATGCACTTCAGGCGTCGGCATCTGTGGCGACTACGAACCCGTCTATATCTTCGGAGCATCAAGGTGCAACGATAACGAAAGGAACTACGATCACTATCCAGCCATCGCTGTTCTGGGATCTACTCGATCCGAAAATCTGTCCTACGGAAACGCCGGGATCGTCCGGGCTGGCAGCTCCCGGTGCTAGGATGCGCGTTACAACGCAGTTCATGCATCCGCTTAGTGAGGATGAGCCGTCGGTAGGGCAGGCAGAGAGGGGTGTGGGTGGGGTTGGTGGTGGCGGCGAGGGTTTATTACCAGATGTTCATGCGCATGAGTTGGAGCAATTGTCGTTGGATGAGTTATTTGGGCAGTTGGGAGATGATGAGTTTACTTGGACGCTTTGAGTGCTTCGGTAGGTATGTGTTATGGCAGTCTTATGGTAGTCTAAGCCGGTTATGCTATGTACCATGGAGCATTGAATGGAAGTAAGCAGAAAAAGGTTTTGATACATGTACAAAATGTATTATCACAAAATAAGAGAAGATGAGAAGTGAATATAGTGCATAGAATGTCGAATATTGACAGACAGACAGACAGACGGACAGGACATATGAGCTATGTCCGGTCCATTGAAACGGGAGCACTGCTCCACAAGATGCACACAAGCGGCACGCTGCAGCGCACCATGATCCTCATCTAGTAAGGAATCTGCTGGAGGAAGTAGTCCATCATGAACTTAACCTGGTCGGGGTGAGCAATGGGAACATTGCCGAAGTAGTTACCCAGCTCCATGACGATCTGGGTGCCGTTGGGGCTGTTAGGGGCCCAGTTGGGCAGGCTGCCCTTGCCAGTGTAAGAGCCACCCTGGTTAGGGTTGAGGGTCTTGGCGAAGTTAGCCCAGTAGGCAGACATCTTCGCAGCGATCTCGTAGTCGGCGTCGGTGAAGGGGTAGGTGTCGGCGTTAGCGTAGAGAGCGTTCAGGGCGTACATGATCTCAGACTGGTGGAAGGCACCCTGGTCCTGGCCTGGGGGAGCGTGGGTCCAGTAGTAGGTGTAGAAGTCGGACTCGGCGGCCTTGTACCAGTCGGTGGCGTAGGCCCAGGAGCCAATGAGGGAGGCATCACGGGCGGCGGCGTTCCAGGAACGGTCGGCGGTGCTCTGGTTGTTGTCGGTGGGGTAGAGCTTGATGTAGCGGTCGAAGAGGTCGCCGTACTTCAGGGAAGTGTAGTTGAGGTATTCGTGGACGGTGTAGTCGGTGGTGGTAGAGGCGCCGGACTCGTCCTTGGTGTTACCGGTGATAACGGGGACGTCGTTGGCAGGGCCGTTGATGAGGGTCTCAAGGTAGGTGGAGGGAAGGACGTAGTCATCCAGGACGGGCTTGAAGATCAGGGGGTAGCCTGCGGAGAGAGCAGTAACCCACCAGATCCAGGTGCCGTTGACACGGTCCTGAGAACCGACGAGGAGGTCCTCCATGGAGAGCTCACGCAGCTCGGCTAGGGTGGAGACGTTGTGCGCGCTCTTGTAGGATTCACCGTGGGTAATGGCGGTAGACATGTTGACGTAGGAAGTAGCCAGACCGGCAAGCAGGGGGTCATAGGGGTAGCGGATACCAGACTCGGAGATACCACCGTGGAAGTAGCCGGAGAAGAGAGGGCTGTTGACGGCGTGGTAGACCTGGGAAGAACCGAAGGACTGACCAGCAACGATGACACGGTCAGGGTCACCACCGAAGTTGGCGATGTTCTTCTGAACCCACTTGAGAACCTCCAGTTGATCCAGGACACCATAGTTGCCAGAGGTGTTGTGACCGGTGGCAGCAAGACCCTCAGCGTTGAGCTCGGGGAGGGCGAGGTAGCCGAAGGCATCGTCACGGCGGTTGAAGGAGATAAGGATAACATCCTTCATGGCCATACCGCCACCATACCACCAAGCAGTATCACTGGTCTCATCGGAACCCTGGTTCCAAACAATGACAGGAAGCTTGGCGTCAGCCGAGGCAGCATTGGTCCAGATGTTCAGGCTGAGGCAGTCCTCGCTGATATAAGTCTCGTAGTTGCTGGGACATGCAGGGCCGAAAGAGGTGGCGTTCAAGGTCGTATTCCAGGGCTCACGGGGCTGGGGAGGCTTCCAGCGGTTCTGGTAGCCAGTATCAGCAGCGAAGGGGATACCCAGAAAAGCGGTGACATTGGACTCGGTGGTGCCGAAGAACTTCTCGAGAACAGTCTCGTTGGTGAAGTACTTGAAACCCTTAACAGGACCGTAGTTTGTCTGGATGACCTGATCCCAGAGCTGGGCCTGAGCGGCAGCAGCGCCCAGGGCCACAGCGGCGAGGCCCTTGGTAGTGAATGAGGGCATGCCGGAAAATGCAAAGAAAATGGGAAGGAAGGATGGAGATGATGATGAGGGAAAAAGAGTAGCAAAGTAGGTGGCGATCGGCATATATATAGGTTCGATTCGAGGTGCCTTTGCAACAAGCGTGGCCAAGGATGGAAATTGAGACCCACCCGGAAGAAACAATGGAATGAGCTTAATGGCTCTCAAGCAGTGGAATGATACAAGCCCTGCCGTTCCGATAAGCCCGAAGGTGGTTTGAGTGCGACAAAGTGCTAAAACCTCTACGGGATGAAGTTTGCCCATGTGGAGACTTCGATTGACTACGCCAACCGATGACGACCGCACAGGAAAACTAGCATCGACGAGACCGTTGAGAAGTTGCGAGAAGAATACCCGTCTCAGATACATGAGGACGGTAGACATTCTGGGAGAGGTGGCGGAGAACACTGCCGGTTCTGCAGGCCGAGGCCGAGGGCAGCCAATCTTCCGTGTATAGTTTTCTCCGCACCCCCTGCCGATCAGAGAGGGCTCGACCTACAAACTACGTTCGATACTGCGACTACTATCGTGTAGTCTATCTATCTATAGTAGAGAGGTAGATTCTCGTTACGCACTTTTTAACTTGTATGCTTATGTGCATATTGTGATCTAAAAAGAGTATTGAAGATAGCAGCATCACAGCGCGGCCAACTCCCTGGCAATTGAACCCTGACCTTGGGAACTTGCAGATTGCCGGAACTGAAGATTGATAGTGTAGAGACCCTCGGCTCGGCACCTACAAGGCTACAACGTAGTTGGGATACTATTTCTTATTAGGACCCACGTTGGCCGCGCGTTTCAGTCTGGGGTGCTGCAGACTTCCTGGGTTGTGCTGAACAAAAGAAGGTAAAAGTGATGATGCAACCCCGCCGAATGATCGCCAGGAAGCCTACTGATAATGGCATATGCGGCCGAGGCTCCCCGCAAGAAGGAAAAGGGTTGGACAAACCCTGAAGTGGATCCGAGTGGATGCGAAGGATACCTCCGAGCTCCCGCGCGGAATCTCGCAAACTCACCCCAAATCGGGTATGGCCCGGCCGATTCCGGCAACAAAGTCTGGTTGATCTTCACCACAACGCTGTCTATTTACGGGGAAGAAATTGCTCAACTTGACCTCCACTGCGGCCTATCTTGAGCATAGGCTGTTTTTTGTATACGCGTTGTCACTACGATGGCCATCTAGTGTTGTTTCGCAAGCCTGTTGAGAGATGAAGGGTGCAATACGTCAAGATATCACGCTGTCTCGGACATAAGAACTCGTCAACTTCGCGAAGAACGGCTGTTACAAGTAGCTATGTTTGTGCCTGCCGGCTCACACTTCCCCATGGAGATCCACGCACGCCCATGTCACAATGTGAGTGACATTAGGCTTGAGATCTCATCGGCTATTTTGGCACAGACGAGAAGAGGCTTGAACCCCCCTCTTCGGCACGCGAACTTACTATGGACCGCTGTTCTACGATCGAAATATATTCTCGAGTGCTGAATGACTTTTGAGCTACATTTTAAAATCAGTCTCCATCGCCAAGAAACTGGACTTCGTATACTGCTGTTAATTAGTCCCGAGCTGATGTTGCCACGCAGGGAACACATTGGATAGCGTCTAGGGCTGAGGGATCTCTCATTCAATCGGAATAACATAGAGCTATGAAACACAGAACTAGCTCTAGGCGAAAACAAAGTAATGCAAGGTACCGGCGAGTGGGACGCCCTCCCTGTCAATTGTTGAGAGTGGAGCAGGCCCATTCGCGTAATTCATAAGATCATACGGCGACAACCTAATTGCCGCTTATTGGTCTATAGATAGTAGCTAAGTCACCTCTTAGCGCGCAAAAGGAATTATGCTTATATAAAAGTGTGCGTTTACATTTAGGGTTGATATAAAGGAAGAGCGCCAGTCCTTCGCCAGCGAAATGTCATGAGCCAAGAACTGACTGAGAAATTTCAGTTTCAATGTGTGAATTACCTTACCTTGACTGCAATTTTCACTGGTTGTATAGGACAATCATAGCTTTGATACACGCCGTCATGAATGATTTGATATGTCTGTATAATTTCGCGCGCTGGGTTATCCCGGCTTCCCTTATCAAGTGTTCTAACTGACTGTCACTGTCAATCAACTCTCGAGATGTAAGCTGCTATCACTCACATAAATTTACCGAAAAGAGCAGGTGATTTATCGGTGTATTTGGTAAGACAGAGATATAGTTCAGAGCCATTCTGGACCTTGGTTTCCACACAATGACCTGCGATTCTCCGGGGAGGGGGCGTTCTATTTGTTTGTATAAAACATGACCCTAGGCAACCCGAGTTTGTCCAGATCGCACCTCTCCACTATACTACTGACACAGAGTAACTAACGGAAATCTGCACCCTGACTATTCCGATTCATTGCATGTCAATACTCATAGTCTAGCTGAGCACATCACACATTGATCACATGCTTCACAAACGAATTCCACAGTCAGGAGCCCACGTTGAATCCCTGTCATGCGTATTCTCACGCCACCTGAATACCCGTGGTTGGTAACCTTACCCTAATATACCATACGTTCTTGAAGATATACAATCACCAGATGGGTGTATCTACGAATATGTGAGAGAGTTCACCTAGTTCTAGATCATATGTAGTAAGATAAGTCACTGCAACACTACGACTAGGCTACCATATTGTAAGACGCATAGCTTAGAGGATAGGAAAATGGATGCTTTATGTAATAGCCGATCGGAAGGACCCATTTTTCAGGCTATTTATGCTTCACTTTGGCTTGATCGTTTGCGGCCTCTCTGCAGGGATTGTCAACTACGGCATGCCACTGGATGAATCATAAGCAGCTGCAAGGATGCGTCTTGTGATGTACAAGACAGGGCAATTATTCGGGAATGGGGAGTCGGAATGACAGAAAGTACCATCCTAGATTGCCATCCTCGAGTCTTAAGCTGAAACCGGCATTTCCGTGAACTGATCACAGTGAAGGCGGGTCAGAGTCATGGTAGTTGTCTGGGGTGCCCGAAGGTTTCTTTCTGTCTT